CCTCTGCTGTAGGACTGCTGGAGGTGCATTCCAGGCCCTGTTTGCCTGGGGATCACCTGCAGCAGCTGCAGAACAGTAAGGGCTGCTGCCAGTTTCTTCTTCTGCTATCTTTGTCCCAGAAGGTTACCCATCAGATGTCAGTCTGAGCTCTCCTTTATGAGATGACTCTTTGGATATACAGGGGTCAGGGAGCTGCTTGAGGAGACAGTCTGTCCTTTATAGGAGCTCAAGTGCTGAGCTGTGAGCTCCGTTGTTCCATTCAGAGCTGCTGGGCAGGTATGTGTAAGTCTGCTGCAGCACAACTCATAAATGCCTTTTTTTTTCCCTAGGTGCTCTGTCCCAGGAAGGTAGGGCTTTATTTATAAGTTTTTGTTGTGCTGTTGCCTTTTTTCAGGGCTGCCCTGCCCAGCGACAAGGCAGCCTAGTCATAGTCTGCCTGCAGAGGCTTTGCTAAGCTGCCGATGGGCTCTGCCCAGCTGCTGTGTGGACTTCCCTGCAGTCCTGTTTATCAGGGTATAGTTAGAACTGCCTCGGCAATGGCAGCCTGCCTCTGTAATGGCAGACTGTCTCTGCAATGGTGGACTGCCTTGGCAATGGCGGGCCACCTCAGCAATGGAGGACTACCTCGGTAGTGATGGACTGCCTTGGTAATGGCTGTCTGCCTCAGTAATGGCAGACTGTCTCTATAATGGCGGACTGCCTCAGTAGTGGCAGATTGCCTCGGTAATGGCAGACTGCCTCAGTAATGGTGGACTGCCTCAATAATGGTGGACGCCCCTCCCCCACAGAGCTGGACTATCCCGGGTTCAGCTGTGCTTGCTGTGAAACTCTCAATCCAGAGCGTTTCAGATTGCTGTTTTTTGTGGGGGTGGGACTGGCTGAGCCTGATCACCTGGCTCCCTGCCTCAGACCCCTTTTTTTTCTCAGTTGAATGGGTGACTCTGTCTCCCAGGCGTCCCAGTCACCAGTTGAAATGGTGCCCAGATTTACACGATTTCTTGTGCATAGACCCACTGCACCAGCTGAAACAGCCTCTGGAGACTTGTGGCGCTTTTTCGCCAAGGAATCTCCTGGCCTGGCTCCCTGTTTCAGTCCCCTTTTTTTTTTCAGTTGAATGGGTGACTCTGTCTCCCAGGCTTTCCAGTCACCTGTTGAAAAGGCGCCCGGATCTGTGTGATTTCCCAAGCAGTGACCCACTGTGCTGGCTGAAACAGCTGTGCTGGAGATTTGTGGCACTTTTTCGTCCAGGAATCTCCTGGCCTGGCTCCATGTTTCAGTCCCCTTTTTATCAGTTGAACAGGCAACTCTGTCTCCCAGGCGCTCCAATCGCCAACTAAAACAGTGCCCAGACCCATGTATTTTGTGTAGAGACCTGCCAAAACAGCCACCCTGGCGACCCGTGGGGCTCCTCCACCCAGGAATCTCCTGGTCTGTGGGCAATAAAAATCCATCTGGAAATGCAGTGTCCACTCACCCTCCACACTCTTGCTGGGAGCTGCAGCTAATTGGCCATCTTGGATCCCTCCCTGTACGACATTACTGCCTTTGTCTCTTTTGATCTTTGTTGGTTTAAAGTCTGTTTCATCAGAGACTAGGATTGCAACCCCTGCTTTTTTTTTTTGCTCTCCATTTGCTTGGTAAATCTTCCTCCATCCCTTTATTTTGAGCCTGTGTGTATATTTCCACATGAGATGGGTCTCCTGGATGTAGCACACTAAAGGGTCTTGACTCTTTATCCAATTTGCCAGTCTGTGTCTTTTGATTGGGGCATTTAGCTCATTTACATTTAGGGTTAATATTGTTGTGTGTGAATTGATCCTACCATATTGATGCTAGCTGGTTGTTCTGCCTGTTAGTTGATGCTCTTTACAATTTGGTATGTTTTTGCAGTGGCTGGTACTGGTTGTTCCTTTCCATGTTCAGTGCTTCCTTCAGAAGCTCTTATAAGGCAGGCCTGGTGGTGATTAAATCTCTCAGCAGTTGCTTGTCCATAAAGAATTTTATTTCTCCTTCACTTTTGAAGCTTAGTTTGGCTGGATATGAAATTCTGGGTTGAAAGTTCTTTTCTTTAACGATGTTGAATATTGGCCCCCACTCTCTTCAGGATTATAGGGTTTCTGCCAAGATATCCACTGTGAGTCTGTTGGGCTTCCCTTTGTGGGTAATCCAACCATGCTCTCTGGCTGCCTTTAGCATTTTTTCCTTCATATCCACCCTGGTGTATCTGAAGACTGTGTGTCTTGGGGTTGCTCTTCTCGAAGGATCTCTTTGTGGTGTTCTCTATATTTCCTGAATTTGAATGTTGGCCTGCCTTGCTAGGTTGGGGAAGTTCTCCTACATAATATCCTGAAGAGTGTTTTCCAACTTGGTTTCATTCTTCCTGTCACTTTCAGGTACACTGATCAAACATAGACTTGGTCTTTTCACATAATCCCATTGTTCTTGGAGACTTTGTTCATTTCTTTTCACTTTTTTTTTCTCTAACTTTGCCTTCTTGCTTTATTTCATTGAGTTGATCTTCAATCCCTAATATCCTTTCTTCTGCTTAATTGATTTGGCTATTGAAACTTGTGTATGCTTCACAAAGTTCTCGTGCTGTGTTTTTCAGCTCCATCAAGTCGTTTATGTTTTTCTCTATGCTGGTTATTCTAGTTAGCATTTCATCTAACCTTTTTTCAAGGTTCTTAGTTTCCTTCTATTGGGTTAGAACATGCTCCTTTAGCTCAGAGAAGTTTGTTATTATGCACTTTCTGAAGCCTGCTTCTGTCAATTCATCAAACTCATTCTCCATCCAGTTTTGTTCCCTTGCTGGCAAGGAGTAGTGATCCCTTGGAAGAGAAGAGGCATTCTGGTTTTTGGAGGTTTCAGCCTTTTGGCACTGGTTTTTTCCCATCTTCATGGATTTATCTACCTTTGATCTTTGCAGTTTCTGACCTTTGGATGGGGTCTCTGAGTGGACTTTTCTGTTGATGTTGAACCTATTTCTTTCTGTTAGTTTTCCTTCTAATAGGCCCCTCTGCTGGAGTTTGCTGGAGATCCACTCCAGAAACTGCTTGCCTGGGAATCACCTGTGGGGGCTGCAGAATAGCAAAGATTGCTGCCTCTTCCTTCCTCTGGAAGCTTCCTCCCAGAAGGGTACCTGCCATATGTCAGCTTGAGCTCTCCTGTATGAGGTGTCTCCCAGTCAGGATACATGGGGATCAGGGAGCCACTTAAGGAGGCAATCTGTCCCTTATTGGAGCTTGAGCACTGTGCTGGGAGATCCATTGCTCCCTTCAGAGCTACCAGGCAGGGATGTTTAAGTCTGCTGAAGTTGAACCCACAACCACCCCTTTTCCCTGGTGCTCTGTCCTAGGAAGGTGGGTGTTTTATTGATAAAATAAATAAAACAACCCTGACAGACTGCTGCATTTTTTCAGAGATGCCCTGCCCAACAAGATGGGAGTCTAGTGACTGTCTGCCTGCAGAGGCCTTGTTGAGCTGCTGTGGGCTCCACCCAGTTATTGTGTAAACTTCCCAGGGGCTTTGCCTACATAGATGAGGTTAAAACTGCCTACCAGAGCCTCAGCAATGGTGGACCCCCTTCCCCTACTGAGCTCGAATGTCCCAGGTCGAGCTGCTGTGCTGGCTGCAAGAATTTCAAGCCAGTGGATCTTAGCTTGCTGGTCTTCATGGAGGTGGGACCTGCCAAGCCAGATCTCTAGGCTCTCTGGCTTCAGCCCCCTTTTTCAGGGGAATGAGTGGCTCTGTCTCATTGATGTTCCAGGTGCTACTGGGATATAAGGAAAACAAAACAAACAAACAAACAAAAAAAACGCTGCAGCTAAAATGGCCACCCAGTTTTGTGCTGGAAACCTGGGGTGCTGGTGTTGTAGGCACCAGAGGGAATCTCCTGGTCTGTGGGTTGTGAAGACCGAAGACCATGGGAAAAGCACAGTATCTGAGCCAGAATGCCAGAGTGTCGGGAAAAGTCCCTAATGGCTTCGTTGGCTAGAAGAGGAAGTTCTCCAGCCCCTTGTGTTTCCCAGGTGAGGTGATGCCCCACCCTGCTTCGGCTCACCCTCCTTGGGCTGCACCCACTGTCTAACCAGTCCCAATGAGATGAACCTGGAACCTCAGTTGGAAATGCAGAGATCACTTGCCTTCTGCATCCCTCTCTCTGGGAACTGCGCTTTGGAGCTGTTCCTATTGGGCCATCTTGGCAGAAATCCCAGTTGCCTGTTTTTTGTGGTTTTTTTTTTTTTTTCAGTTAAACTTTTTGAGATACATATTGATTCTGATGCAGTTGTAAGAAATAATGTGCTGTTTACCCAATTTTCCCCAACAGCAACATCTTGCAAAACTATAGTAACAGTATCACAGCTGTGAGATGGACATGGCTACAATCCCCTGACTTTATTCATCTCTCAACTTTACTTGTACCCCATGTATGTGTGCATTTAGTTCTATACAACTTTATCATGTGGGTTAAGAGATGTCAAAATACAGAACCATTCTGTCACCACAAAGATACTTCCTGTTGCCTTTTATAACCATACCTCCCTCACTCCCTGTCCTTACTCATCTCTAACCCCAGCAACACTAATCTGCTCTTTATCTAATTTGTCATTTCAAGAATGTTACATACATGAAATAATATAGTTGATAATCTGGAGCGTGGCTTTTTCACTCATAATTCCCTTGAGATCATCCAAGCTGTTGGGTGTAAGAGCAGTTTGTTCCTTCTCATTGCCGTGTCTGGTTGTAATCATTAAGCACCCCAACATGACACCCAAGTCCAGTTACAAATCCCTTGGGATATGATTCTCAGGGATCTTTTGTTTGGTGCTTCGGAGTTTGGGGGTGTGGGGGTGGAACATGCTGCCAGTTTTTCTAGGTACATGCAAACAGACCTAGGTTCCTTCGTCTCTTTCCCCCAAAGAGTGACCAATTGGATTGTAGTATTCTTTAGCACTGGTTGACAGTCCTTCCTTGTGTCTCCTTGTCGCCTTCCTCCCCAGGAGCACATCTACAAGCTGATGAAAAGTGACAGTTATGCCCGCTTCCTCCGGTCAAATGCTTACCAGGACTTGCTGCTGGCCAAGAAGAAGGTATCTTTGGGAAGGGCAGGCTTGCCCTTCTTAGCACTGTTTACTCTTGCCTGCTGCTTGCTGCTGGTTTGAAATGAGAATGTCATCCCTTGGGTTTTGTTTCCTCTTTTCTTCTTTCCCTTCTCTGTCTGCTCCCATTCTAATGGAAAACAGTTAGGATGGTCAGCACCCCAACCCCACTGCTAAGTCCAGGGTGGGACATCCTGCCTCCACATCCCTATTGCCTCTGTCTGCATGTCCCGCCCATGGCAGGGGTGGGTATGTGGGGTGACAAAATGCCAAGGCCACAGTGGCTCAGCACAGGAGCACGGGGCTGACAGCAGCACCTGCAAAACCCTCAGGACACTGGAGAGAGCCCCTCACTGCAAAGTCCAGACCCCTCCCCTCAGACTTCTCTCCCTGACCAGCCCAGAGATAAGGATGAGGCCACGGTTGGGGCAGCTCCCTCACTGGACAGAAAGTCTTGTCAGTATCAAGAGCACGGTCCAGTACCTGAAGTCATCCTGGGGTTTCTCCCTCCTGGACGCCCCTTCCTCTCCCTCACCTGCCCCACCGTCTTTTCTCTCTTAACCAAGAACTACCTGTGCCCAGCTCCTTCCTCCTCCTCCTCTTTAGAACTCAGCCATGGTTTCTTGCAGCCCGTGGAGTGATGGATTTGTGGTGCAGGGGCCCTCAGCATGCAGGGGAATAGGGTCCAGGAAGGGAATGGAGGGCAAGAGAGAGGGCTCCTGGTTTCAGTCTGCCTGCCCACCCTCTGTGCTTTTCAGCTCTGATCTGAGGCCCATGTGTGGTTAAGTGTGGCTCAATTTGCATAAAACCCCATGACTTCTGTGCCATGCCACTTCAAAGCACATGCATCCCTTTCCCCTCCCTCCTGGCTTCCCAGCGCCAGACCCTAAGCACATGGTTGCCCATCCCACACTCTCCTTTGGGCTGCCTCTCAGCCATGCAAGCCTTCTCTCTGTGTGCCGTCACGCTCATGTGCCAGGATCCTGTCTGCATATCTGGTAGGGACCACACAGCTCCAGAGTCCCTTGCCCACACAGCTCCTGCCGTTGCGTACCCCTGGGAAGAGGCCATAGTCTGAGAAAGGGTAGAGGACTTCTGGGGCATCCCAGTTGTCAACAGCTCAGCTCTCTGGGCTTCCTGCATCCCTCCCCCTCAGGTGTGGCTACTGTGATGGACAGTGTGGAACCTGGTCCCCTGTCAACTCCTGCTGGAGGATGTCAATGGAGAGGCTCCTTTGGAGGAGGCTGACACCACCAGACATGGCTCTAATGCCCATTTTTTCTAAGAACTAGAGGAAAGAAAGGTTATAGGAACTTTTGATATCTCCAGCCCAGATCTCATGGGCAAAGGTCAAAGAAAGTTTTCCTTGTTTTCTGTGGCTCAAGACACCTGACCTGATCACAATTTGGGGACATTTTAAGGCTCTAGCAGTGTGACCAATCTGGGCCTGTTTACATACCTCAAAGAGGAGAAGCTAGAGGCCATTCATTCTCCTTGTGGGTTTCAACATGAAGGAAAAGTGTACCCAAACCGTGCTGAGACCCTGGTGCCTGCAGATCCTCCCTTCCAAGAAGAAAACCTCTCAGAGGAGGTCATCGGAGTGAGGAGGGAACAGGCAACCTGCCTGGTAAAAGTTCCTTAGAATGATCCTCCCAGCTCCCGAAGTCAGGGATGTTCTTGAGACAGGAAACCTTTGCAGAAACCAACGTTTCAATACCGAGGAGTTGCTTCCCAGAACAGTGACAAAACCTACTTTCTTCTATTTCTTCCTGAGAGTCTCCAGGTACGGATCTGATCTGTAACTCAGCACTTTCAGGTAGGCCTAGAGTATTCGTCTGATTTCAGGGGTGGGCTCACTGTATCCAGGTGGTAAAAGGTATGTGAGATTCACAACCCCAGCGGAGAGAGGGGGAGTATGAATCGGCCTCGTTTTTCTGCTGAGAACTGACCTGGACAGAGTCTTGAGGCACAGCCTCTTTTCTAATATTTTCAAAATCAATGATGATAGTCACACTGAAGAACAGGTTCTCAGGGGGCAGGTGAGCTGAGTCCTGAGGGCTATTTTAGGAAACTTGTCCCAGTGACGGTTTTCCAGGTCAGCTCAGTGACCAGTGCAAGGCAGAGGAGCCCAAGTGAGCCAGACCAGTGGCTGCCCTCTGTGAGCCAGAGGCCAAGAGTGATAGACCGAGAATGGCAGCTGCAGGGCCAGGACTGGCCAGGCTTGAGCCAAATGCATGCCACCCAGGCTGGCCACAGGGTTAAAGCTGAGTCTTGCCCTCCCCAGAATGGAGACTTGGTATGGTAGCCGGGGTCAAGCATGAGTCCTTCAGTTTCTAGTGCAAAAGCAAGCTCAGCCCAACTCTCTGGTGGTGTGTCGTTTGTGTTGTATTTTCCTTCTGCGACCTTGTATCTGTCTTCTGGCAGCCGGCTGAGCTGACAAGGGGCCTGGCTGCCAAGGACGCCCCCGACTTCATCCACACAGACAGGCAGCTGCGTGTGGCCTGTCCCCTCTGCTCTCAGCACAATCTGCAGACCCACAGATACCTGGCTGCCTGTTTAGCTCCCTCATTTCAGTTATTTGCTGGGTGTATGTGTGCGTCTATGTGAGTGTGCGCACTCTCCGAACTTCTCAGCCTCAGGCTCAGGACCCTGGAATGGGGCTCCAGGATACACCAGCAGGTATTTGGGCAGTCATTCTACTCTCCCGGAACCCCTGAAGGTAGGAAATGCAGGGTGAAGGGAAGGTCAGGAGCACCCCACACCTCCCTTCCTCCTGTAGTGGAGGGAGGCTAAGCCTGGGAGGACAGTCAAGGGCTTTGCCTCTGCTCGCCCCTGTTCTGGGCTCCCCAGCTAAGAGCTTCCCACGGTGGTTTCTGAGCTTCCTCTAGCCTGTCCTGCTCACATCTTGGCAGGTGTTATGTCACCTTTTGGATACAGAAAGAACAGTTCCTGTTTCTCAGAACAATCCCCATTGTCAGAAGACTTATTGTCTTCTGAGACCCAAGACCCTTTGTCCATGGCAAAGGCCATGAGTAGACCCTCCTTGCTCTAAGGACACAGAAGGAGGGTCATTAGGAAGTCACTGAAGTTTGCAAATTTTCTGGCTGCCTCTGGGCAGGGAAATCGCAAGAGAGAAAACAGTCTTAACCCAGACTCAGGGATGAGTAGACGACTTCACTTCCCCAGCGGCCACTTCCTGACATCCCTCCCCTCCCACACCCCGCTGGCCCTCAGAACTAGTCTGTTAGGAGTCAGGACTTGGAGCCCCCAGGGCCCCAGGGCCTTGGTGCCACAACCACCAGGACTCCTGCCTGTGGGCACGGCAGGTTGAAAGCAGCAAGCAAGCTGCTCAAACCCACCAACTGCGGTCCTGTGCAAAGTCGTGATGGCTTCTAATCCAAGCCCCACAGTGCAATTCACGGTCCCTGGGGAAGCAAACCCTCTTCTCTGCTCACTGCTCCAAGGAGGCAGCACCGTTTCTTGTGGGCTTCTGTCTTCTGTCTCTCCCGTTGACTCTTCCAACGGCACTGGCTGCTTCTCTTTTCCCATTTTTCACCCCATTTTGCTTTGGTTTTTGTTATTCTTTAGCTGCGGCTGCTGCTGTTTGGAAACCATGTGTAAGCTGAAGATTTTTTTTCCTGTATTTTTCTCCCTACCTTTTTTTTTTTTTTCCTAAAGCCAGAAAGTGAGCAAGGTCGTAGAACTTCCCTAGAAAAGTTCACTCGCAGTGTGGTAAGTTCAGTCGGTTTTCTTCCCTCCAGTTTTCTTTTGATTTTGATTTTTTCTTTTTTTCCTTTGGTCGTTGTTTCCTTTCGGGTGGGAGGGAGTCCAGTGCTTTCTCCCTTGACTCAGCCCTTTTCTTTTGCGAGTGTCTGCAGCTTCTATTCTAGGGATAAAAATGCAAAAAGAGCGAGCAGCTCCCTCTGCAGAAGGTGCACACTTGATCACCCAGCCTCAGGCCTGGGCATTTGATCGTGGGTTCATGGCTTTGAGGGCCTGCCGCCCTTGGGGCTGTGCAGTTTGTGCATCTTCTGCAGCAGCCCAGGGAGAAGCCATGGAACTATACCATGAAATAAATTGGCTCAGAACCATAGCTCATTCAAAACAAAGCCAAATTTCCCTCTGTGAACCCTGGCAGTCACGCCGGTGTGGGTTGCGTGCTGATGTTGCTGTGTAGGCAGCTTTTGCTGTGTGCAGAAAGCGGCCGTGCTGCATGGGTCCCAGCGCTGTGGCCTAGCTGGCGTGTGTGTTAGTCGCCTCTGCATGAGTCCCCTCCAGCCCCCATCAGCCTCATGTTCACAGCGGGCCAGGGAGAGGAGGGCAGTAGCTGAATACCTGCGCCGTCTGGGGTACTCCCAGGGGCAAGGTCCTCACAGCCTCCTCAGGCCTTGATTCTGACAGGGTGGGTCGAGATGGGCTTCAGGCTCCTACAGTTTCATGGTCCGCCCCGCCTGGAGAGTGGTAGAGCTCCCGTAGCGGCACGTCAAGATGGCCGTGGCAACAGGTGGGAGTGGGGAGTCCGTGGCTCTTCCTGGGCTGCATGGCTGAGACATTCTACCGTGCTTTGTAGAACAACACGGGCCAATCTCCTCTTTCCATGCTGGTCACCCCAAAATGTGAACATCGAGCTCAGTGCACAAGAAATAGCCAATCCTGCTTAATCACAGGGCCCTGCCTGTACCATGAATAGCAAACTGGAGGGAACCAAGATCACAACCAGGGTGCAGGGGTCCCACCCAGGGAACTGTCCACATTCCCTTCCCGAAGGGCGGCAGCCCAGTGATACTGACTTGCCTTTGTTCCACCTCTGCTCAAGAGGAAAGTCCTTGTAAAATCTGACTACTGTGTGACTGGTATGCATATTTCATCCTTTTGAGATTAAAAAGTCTAAGGATCTCAGGTTGAAAGCAACCTAGTCACTGACCTGTCATAGCTAGATGCATTTTAAATGCCTTTAAACATTGTCTTCAATTTGCTACATGTAAATGTCAAATAACTAGGTGGGTATTAAAAATTGGTATTTATACAAAAAATTAGCTGGGCATGGTGGCGCGTGCCTGTAATCCCAGCTACTCAGGAGGCTGAGGCAGGAGAATTGCCTGAACCCAGGAGGCGGAGGTTGCAGTGAGCCCAGATCGCGCCATTGCACTCCAGCCTGGGTAACAAGAGCGAAACTCCATCTCAAAAAAAAAAAACAAAAAACATAAAAATTGGTATTCATCCCTTCCCTTCCTCTGTCTTCCCTCTCCATGGCTTTCCCTCGTGAGAAATCAGAAGGTACAGAATACAAGGCCTGCAGGTACCTCACCTGTCTTCATGGCTGGTTTGCCATGGCCGTGTGGCTCCACACACTGAGAAGCTGCCACGGGCTGTCAGAGGCAAGGCCTCTGGGCCTTCACCCATGATGGCCTGAGAGAAGGTAGTGGGGTCCCATCTCTCTCTTTTGGGCCTGGCTACTCTGTGGGTAGAGGGTGTTTAGGGATTTTGCTGACAAGCCAAGAGTGCCTGTGAGTCTCAGGTACAAACTGTACAAAAGCAGAGCTCTGACAGCCCCCAGAAGCTCTTCAGGGTGACCGCACAGGCCAAGGGTGAGAGAGAGGAAGCCGGGTACTTGAACAGGATGTCCAGAAATTTTCGCACTGCTTTTCAAGAGAAGTGAGTATCAGGAAAGGCAAGAACGGTCTCGCCGCAGCTCTGTGAGGAGCATTTATTGATTTCCCTTCATCCCAAAAGTGATGTTGGCTCCGTGGTTCTCCAAGGTCTGTTAGCAAAGCATTTGGAACAAGAAAGCACCAAGTCACCCCCAAGTGTCTGAAGTGGACACATGGGGAACTGACAAAGTTTCAGGGTGAACTGAAGGAGTCTGGAGGGTATGGATAAAAGGCCCCAACTTAAAATAAAATACCCAAATTCCCTGCTGTGCCTTTATGAACAAGAGACTCAACAGGTGATGATGTATTTGTAATTTGGGGTTCCGTTGGAGATGGATTGCCATTCATTCATGCTCCTCATGCTCTTGGGGTGACACCATACCCCCACAAGATGTGGCTAAGTTTGGGGATATGGCCTACAGCTATGGAAGTTTAGGGATATGACCCATGTGTTGGCGCTCAGATTACTTAAGACTGGAATGCAGGAATTTCATCTCAATAGCCCAGTGGTCTCATCAAACAGAACTAACTAACCAATATGCCTCGCAATCTGATAGCCGTTCTTTGAATATCATATGCATAAAGTATTTGATTTATCTAAGAGAACATCCACATGAATGTTTCATCTGCTGTGTACTGCAAACTATAAACTAAATGAAGGGCTCGTTCCTGACATTCCGTGTTGCTGGGAGAGAAGCATAAGAACATGACCCACGTCACGGGGCCAATCATGGAAATGGGGGAGTGAAGCTGGGCAGCGCACGGACCAAAGACGGGAGGCCAGCTGCCATTTAGGATTAATGAATGGCAAAAAAAAAAAAAAAAACTATCCAGGTGATTGGATAGATCATTCAGCTGGAGGCTTGTCAAGACTGAATCCGAATTCAGAATTTCTCCCCAGAAAACGCCAATGTCCTTTCTTTTTTGGTAGAAGACAAACGTGGAAAAAACAAATTGTTTCCAAGTCTTAAGCTGTGCCATGTCATAGAGGGATTATCTGTTAAGAACACACATGCCCCCTTTTCCATGAGATCCTAAGATGTTTGGTATGGTTCACGGTTTCTTTAGGGCCATGTTAGTTTGGGTGCCGAAGAGGCCTGGCACTCCCCTGCCAATGGAGAAAGTGCTGGGTGAGCTGCTCTTTCCGATGCAAGCTTCATTCCATGTCACTCAGGACTTGGACATACAAAGCAAACCTCTGGGGACCCTGTGCCAAGTATCCTGTCATTTTGTGGACGGAAACCACACACCCTGCTCATTTGATCAGGAAGGCCCAGGTTCTGAGCCAAATGTGACTGAAGTCCACGGCGGGGTGCACCTAGCCTGCAACACACATTCATCCAAAATGGAAAACAAGACTCCCTCTGGTGGGCCCAACCCCACAGATGCCCAGCTGGCCAGGCAAAACACAGCCCCAAGTGAGGCTGGCGTCAGCCTCCCTGGGTACCTTTGTCCAGGCGCTCAGTTCAAACTCACCTACCCTCTTGAGAGCTTCATCGGCTCCAGCCTTGGGCACTGAAGACAGGAAATGGGTTGCTGGTGCCAGAGCAAGACTGGAGGCCATGGAGGAGAGGAGAGAGGAGGACCAGGCGTTCATCCACCTCCTAAGAGAGCATCGAAGTTTCGCTTTGCCAAGTTGCTCCTTGGAATCGCGGCAGCAAGGGCCGGAAGCTGCAGAAGCCTTGGCACGTGATGGGTGGCATCTCTGCGACAGGCTTTCCTGTCCTGCCTGCCAAGGAATGCAGCAGGCAAGTCAGATGGGGAGCGGGAAGCTCAGGGAGCCAGCTGCCACTCAGCCTCCCTCGCTCCCTCCTTCCCTCCCCCTCTTCCTTCCTCTGCCAAAAGCCAAGGAAGAGCTAATGAGAGCCAAGAAGTCAGCAGCTCACCCACACGCCCAGCCCCAGGCAGCTCTGCAGAGAGAAACCCCCAGCTCTAGGCCCAGGTGCTGACCGGAAGTGGAGGGCTGAGGCTGTCAGCAGGGGAGGGGAAGGCAGACAACCAGGGCAGTCAGCCGAGTGCTCCTGCCTGCCCGGGGAGGGCGGTATTGTTCTCCCCTCTTCAAGGTTTCCGGGTGAACAGTCACGCAGCACCTCGGTGGAATGAGTTCCCAAACACCTAGACTCAGCAGAGTCCCCAGAGGGCTTTGACCTCAGTTGAAATAATCTTTTCAGGCCTCTGGCAAGGGCCAATTGACTAAAAATCTTTTCAAGGGGTTAGTTTTTATTGCGAACAGTCCTTGGACTCCTTTGGGACTGCTGGGTCGCAAACATTAGTGCCAGCCTCTCCCATCTCAGAGCGCTGAGATTCAGCTGCAGTAAAACCCTGGCCCTGGCTGGATCTGGAGGGAGACATCCATCAAAGTGGGAGGGAAAGCATGGAAACCTGCCTCAAGCAGCGAGGCCAAGTCCTGGGACTCAGATACCGCAGAAGCCACCGTACAGAGTGTCTCCTGCTTCCAGCCTCAGCTTGCTAGCTGTGTGACCTCAAGCAAATCACTAGCCCTCTCTGAGCCCTAGTTTTCTCCTCTGACATGACTTGGACTGGGTCATCTCATCCCTTCCAGCTAGGAGTATTCTGCAGCTCTGTGCTTCCCTCTGTCCTGAGATTTCTGAGTTATATGGCTTATTCCTTAGAATGGGAGAGAAGCTACCTTCCTGCCCAATCAGTTTCCTGATTTGGAAGTGCCTGCCAGCCTATAAGGCTGGGAGATAAATGTAGATAGAGTTGAGTTGGGTGTATTTACAAACCCTGGACATGCACTGGCAGGGGAACTGAGTGCCCCACAGGCCTTGCTGGGTTGTTCAGGCTCACTCATATATAGTGAGTTGCTGAAGGCCCAGGGAGGACTCACAGAGAACAGGATGAGTGCCCCACACCGTGTAGCCTCACCAGTTCTGCATTCCCCGCCCTTCTGGTCTGGGTGCCCAGCTGTGTGTGTGTCAGGTGGGGTCAGCTGGGTAGAAAGGTGGACACCGGGGTGGGTGCTGCCACATCACTGCATGCATTGTGGGGGCTCAGGGGCCCTACAAGTATGGGAAAGGATGAAATGTGAGCATTTGGGAATCTCAGCACACACTGCTGCTCACCTGCTACCAGGCTTTCTGGTTCCCTAGGGAATCCGGGGCCAGCTTGTTGCTGTCCTCTTTTAGAGATGGGAAATAAGGGTACGAGAGACAGTGTTACCTTGTTTACAATCAGTGGTGAAGTCCATGGTAAGGCCAGGTTACAGCTCCTCCATACTTCACTTTTTATCTCGGCCCTGGGAAATTAGGAAAAGCATATTTACTATTATTATGTAGCTGGAAAATGAAAATGTAAGTTTTTTTTTATAAACTGTAAAATGCAAAACAACAGACTCAGCAAGGCTGGTGGGTGCAGAGAAGACACAGTGGCAAAGTGGTTCCCCACGGGGTCGACAGGGAAGAATCTCGAGGCTTTGATTTATCCTAAAGGGCCACAGGTTGGTTGTCATTTTTGAGACACTGGGCCCTAGACCCTGGCATTTCCCTTGGAAGGAAAAAACCCCAGTTGTTCCCGCTGATAATTCAACCTGTCAGCCAAAAGAAGCCAAAATGCCCTCCCCACAGAGTGCCCACTTGGAGAAAAACCCCACTCGTAACTGAGCTTCTGGACACGTGGGGCGATCGGGGCCCAGTGGGGGCAGCCTCTCCTGGCCTTCCCTCACCAGCCCTCCCTCGCCCCCTGCCCAGGCCCTCTCCTGCCTTCCCCAGACCCCAGTGTGCCAAGCAGTCAAGTGAAAATCAAATCCTCTGAAGGCAGAAGGACACAGCTGTGTGTTTACAGCCACTGATTCAGATCCAAATCGCATACCCGGCCAGTCTCCAGCAAGGCAGGCTGGGGGCAAAGTGTGTGTGTGCCAGGCAGGGATCTATTTCAGGAGGTGACCTGCAGCCCTTCGCCGTGGCGGTGGCTTCCTCCCACCCCCTCTCAGGAAGGCGCTCTCACTTCACAAGCCGCCAGTGGGGTTGTGGGGTCTTGGCCTGCTGCTCGTCACATGTGCAGTCAGACCCTGGTGCCATCCCTGTGCAGTCACATGGGAACTGCGTGGGCTCCCACCTGCCTGGTAAGAAGGCGGGGAGTGTAGGACCCCCCCCCCACAGGATAAACCATGGGAAGGTGAACCACACAGGAGACAGGATGCCCACCTCTGCCAAGAGCAGAGCCTGCCTCAGTCCCATCTGGGGAGCAGTGGCACTGCAGCAGAAGGGGCCAGAAAGAGAGCATCCAATGGCAGGAGCCGGGCAAGGGGACAGCACTGCCAATGTCAAGGTCAAGGAGAGGAGATCCAACTCTGCCTGTGGTCCAGACTGGAAAGTTCAAAGAGAAGTCAGAACACTTCAAGTCTAAGGACCTCAAAGGCTAAGAAGTAAGACCTCCATGGAAGTCCCCCTAGAACGAGCTCCTGATGGAAACCACAGGGGATGCTTTCCCTTTTTAAAATATCGAATGAGTGTCCCTAGTTCGAGTTAGGAAACCATGACATTTTGGAAGGAGGGCACGATATCTGTCCATAGGTAGGAACAGCTTGTAAGATGTTGCCCTCCAGCTGAGTGGCTACATGGGACACTGCTGGCAGCAGGCAGGGTCGCTTAGAAGAGCTCAGAGCAGTGGGATTTTTAGTTTTGTCATGTTTGCCCAAAGGTGGATGGGAGAAAGACCCTTGGGTGTTTGCTCAGTGGCTCACCAATGGGTTGGAAGCATGGGGTCACCCTGGCAGTGGCAGGGCCCACAGGGCAGTGGTTCTTCCATGTTCTCTAATCATGGTCAAATCACATCAGCTTGAGCAACAGCACCATGGCCACAAATGGGAAGGTGCCTCGTTAGTGTAATATTTGGCAGATTCTCTCTACACACACCATGGCAGTCTGGCTTACTGTAGAAGGGTAACCTTAAAAAATACATGCCCTGCTCCAGAAAAAAACCACATGTGGCCTGTTAGAAGCACAATAAGGTTGAAAGCAATGTCCACTCCTGCCTCCCTCCCCCTGCTCACCTCCACTTGCCTCCGTTTGCTCCTATGTGGGTGAAGTGAGTATATTCAGTGTCTTCATGGCAGGTGAGAGGGTGAATGAATCCATCTATGTCTGCTGGAAAGGCAGTGTCTGGTAGTGGGCCACAAGGGTTCAGCCATGGCCCATCGAACATCCTTTTTGATGACCTGGATGAAGAGACAAACCTTCCAACCACATTCCAATATCCAGAACTCCAAAGTGTGGCTCATTTGGTAGATAATGGAATTATATTTGGAAAGCATTTCCTGCAGCAGGGATGATGGGTCAAAAACAGCCAGATAACGTTTTATCAGGTCATAGTTAAGGGGCTTTCTTAATTTGGTTTCTCAACCACAGGATAGCATTTGTAGCCTTTCCTAAAAATCAAGTAAAAAAAACAAGTTCTTGGGTTGTCATTGACTACAAGCTTAGTAGTAAAAGCAGAATGCAGCTGCTTTCCAAAGGGCAACTTTAGGCTCTATATCAAAAGTGGGATGGTCAGAGAAAGGAGAAGTGTTCCATTGCTTTTTGTCACTCTAAGCAATATTAAGTCTTTGTTCTAAGCCCCCACATTATTGGGAACGTTAACATCTAGAAACAATTCAGAGAGAAGAACTAGAGAGAGAAAGGGACTCTGGAAGCCATGTTGCAAGAGACGGAAGTAAAAACGTCTAGCCCCCAGCAGACACGATGGCCACCGTGAGCTCTCTGCATTTGTCTTCCAGAGTGGACACTTCTCGATTGCTCCAAAGAGCAAGGCTGGAACAAATGGTTAGAAAATAAAAAGATACTAAAAATATTCTAACAATAACAAGATATCCCAACTATGGACTACATCCCTTCAAATTAACAACGAGCTCCCTGGCTCGCTGTTTAGAAGGTGAATGGCCAAGGATAGTATAGAGTAGGTTTCTACACCAGATCCCAAGATCTTTGTTTTGCAACTGGAATTCTATGCTGCCCCAAATAGCTGTTAAATGGATCTTACTGCATTTCATTCTGTGATTTATAAATAAGTGGTAGAAAAGGAGAATGAATTATATGGAGGGAGTTTGCCAAGATCAGAGGGGAGGGATCTGAAAGACTCAGACTAGACTCTGCCTTGAGGGAGGAAAAGCCACACGATGACACACTCAAAGCAAGGGAAACCGTCAGGAAGTGGAATCACTGCCCTTCACATGTCATCCTTGCTTTTTTTTTTTTTTTTTTTTTTTTTTTTTTTGTCATTTGCTGCCACAGCAGCTGAGCTCTGGGCAACAGGGCTTTCTCTCCCGAATGCCTGAAAAGAGGTCAGTGAGTGGAGGACACAGGCGCCCGCTGGTACAGGGCGCTGGCAACCGTGGTGCAGCGAGCCCCAGCACAGCCAGGGTGGCCATGTGCCTGGGGCGTCCTGGCCCGAGGTTGAAGAAAGCTCTTCCTGTCATAGTTCCCATCTGGAAAGGCATTTTGTTGAAAGCAAAAAGGATCATGAAGTCAATTGCCTTTTACCCAATGCCAGTTGCAGACTTCAGGTAAATGAGTTGACATCAAAAACACCTGAGCTGACTGGGTGGTGGTGGCTCATGCCTGTAATCCAAGCACTTTGAGAGGCCAAGACGGGCGGATCACCTGAGGTGAGGAGTTCGAGACTAGCCTGGTCAACATGCTGAAACCCCATCTCTACTAAAAATACAAAAATTAGCCAGATGTGGTAGCAGGCACCTGTAATCCCAGGATTTTGGGAGGCCAAGGCGGTCAGATCACCTAAGGTCAGGAGTTCCAGAGCAGCCTGGCCAACATGCTGAAACCCCATCTCTACTAAAAAAAATTACATTAGCCAGGCATGGTGGTGGGTACCTGTAATCCCAGCTAATCTGGAGGCTGTAGCAGAAGAATCACTAGAACCCAGGAGGCAGAGGTTACAGTGAGCTGAGCTCACACCACTTCACTCCAGCCTGGGCAACAGAGCAAAACTCCATCTCAGACAAAAACAAAAAACACCTCAGGCTGGCCAGGAGCAGGGCATACCCCCAGAGACCTCGGCCTGAGGAGAAACTGTCCCCCCATCCCAGCTCCCCTCCTCTGGGGCCCTGCTGGGGGGGCCTTGTTCTCAGCCCAACTCAGGGGAAGGAAAGGGCTCCCATGTCACATTCTTTCCAGCTGTCCTAAGAGCCACCAGATTGCCGGTGATACTCCCTCCTCTCTTGGGCTTCACCAGAGCTGCTTTCAACTCATCGTGGATTGTATAATTATGGTGATTACAGCTTGTGGCTTTTTTCCTCTCTTCATCTTTTGCTTTCAAATTCTTTGAGGCCTCTTATTAAGCATGGCAATCCTGGTAAAGTCAGCAAAGTTTTAATAAGACACTTCTTACAGCTAAAGAAAGCCCAGTCAGGGTTGATTGCTGCTATGTTCCCTCATATATTCCATTAAAACCCTATCAGGCACAGTTGGTGCCTGGGTATAAAAGGTGGGGGAGAAGGAGGGCAGGGAGACAGAGGGCGCCTGTTCTTAGTCACAGGGCTGGAGAGCCATTCCACACCATGCCCCTGGCCTTTTCCATGTGCACCAAGTGTCAAGTGCATCTGAGCCCCCATGCCTGATAGGAAAAGACAGACTGTCAGACAAGGACCGAAAGCCTGGCCTTAACATCATAGCAGATTACACTGGGAAAGGAAGATGGGACATCCAAGACAACACTCAACCCAACCTTGTCATCTGCAGCAAAAGTAGTGGGGGATTTCTGACCGGTGCTCTGCCCTGGTTAATACTGGAAGGTTCTGAGGCATCCATAATCCTAAATAATTAAAGCAATCACTAGCCTTTGAGTCATTACGATCCTGTGGTTTTACACCTGATAGAGGTTTCCTTGGTAATGATTCAGCTTCAGATCTCATTCTTGGCTAGCAATCATAGCTTGCTTTCTTGTTGTTGGTTTTTGTTTTTGAGACAGAGCCTTGCTCTGTAGCCCAGGCTGGAGGGCAGTGGCGCAATCTCAGCTCACTGCAACCTCCACCTCCAGGGTTCAAGCAATTCTCCTGCCTCAGCCTCCTGAGTAGTTGGGATTACAGGCCTGCACCACTACACTCAGCTAATTTTTGAATTTTTAGTAGAGACAGAGTTTCACCATGTTGGCCAGGCTGGTCTCGAACTCCTGACCTCAAGTGATCTGCCTACCTCAGCCTAACGGGCTGCATGAGCCACCATGCCCCACCGTAGTTTTCTTAAAGAGTTATCAGAGTTGTAGGAGATCATGAGTGTGGGTTGTATGTGTAAGCAGGCTCATCCAGGTTTCCTTTATTTCTGTATTCCCTGGGACTACACAGATGACAGCACAGGGAGGTGCATCTTGCCCAAGCAGGACTGTGTTTCTGAGAGGCCCCTGATTGGCTGCCCGTGGCTGACAGTCCCACACCCACCAAACTGCCTTCTACCGTGCAGGTAGCCAGTTACCACACTGCCCATGTGTCAAAAGAGCAAGGAGCTGGACTGCGACTGAGCAGCACCAACCACCTGGAGCTAAATGTCAAAAACCTGACAGGGACATTTCCTCTAACTGCATTCTCATCCACTACCGAAGATGGCCAGCTTGTGTGACCTCTTGAGAACCACATCCCTTTAGTACCCACCAGAATGCACAGAAATAAGCTAAGTTTGGTCAGACAACCCCAACTGAATCCCTTTTCCTCCACCTGATAGAAGTATATGATCCTGGGCAAGTCACTTGCATGCCCGGTGGGTACAACAAAGCCCACTGCACGGGGAAGAGACTGGCATTAGATGAGGGCGTGATAGCAAGCGCCGCCGTTTATCGGGAGCTCATGTGACAGCACTGTGCCGTCCTGGCTTCACCTGGGAGGGACTGCGGTTCTACTCCAGCTCTATCCCTTAGCTGTGTGAATTGCACAGCTTTTCTAAGCCTCAGTTTCCTCATCCATAAAAGGGAAATAAGAGTAAGTAAGTAGGAATAAAATTCACAATGTGCTTAGCACACTGCGTACGGTGTGTGTGCTTAATAGGTATAGCTGTTAGAATTAGTTTCATCATTATGATGTTATTTGCAGCCAGCTCATACTTAGCTCTGCACTTATTACCTTATTTAATTTCCAACAGTATTCTGCAAGGTTGGCATGATTATATCTATTTTGTGCTTGAGAGTGGGTATGTGGGTATCTCATATGTGACAGTGCGTGCAAAGTACATTTATTACAGAGATGAGCTCATGGTAACTACTCGATAAATGGTAGCTCTTATTGTTGGCTTATTTTTAAACTCAACTCAGAGAGGTAGTTTTTCTGCATTTCCTGGAAATGAAGGGACTGTGGTGCCCAGCAGGCCAGCTCCTGCTCTGCGGTCAATTTCCTGGAGCCCTAAGCACTTCCCAGGAAGCTGTGGGAGCCACAGGGCTTGTCAGCCTTTTGTGAGGTGATGGGAGGTGGGGAGGGCCAGCGGGCAAATGGTGCATGTGTTGTGGGGATCTGGCATTTGGCCCCTTACTGAGGTGCAGGACCTGAAGATGCCCCCTACTACCAGACACAGATCAGGAATGGGTCTACCCATGATAAGAAGATGAAACCTACTCCTCCGAATGTAGCCCCCCACATGAGAGAAACACTCACCTCTCAGCTGTCTGCTTGCCTGGAGCCACCCTGAGCAATGCAACCTCAACAAAGTCTAGTTGCTCCATCGGTCCGACAAACAGAGGTTTCCAGTTTTTAATCACTTGTTCCAAAGCGAGGTAGTGGAGGAGTCAGAAGCAGGGGATGCTTTGAAATCCCTTGATAAACCAGACCCCTGGGGTGGGCATTCCTACTGCCTATAGTTCCGACAGAAGCAGAAGTGGAGAAGCCATTTCCACGGAGGTGAATAAATGGCTTTTTCATGGGGGAGGATTCCGTTTTTATGTATGTATTTTAAGGTGAATGCTTTAAGTTTGCAGTATTTGTCAGAGTGGCATCTTAGGAGCCGATATAAAACTCTACAGCCAAACAAACAATTGCCTGTACACCTTGCATGAGATGCTTCTCTAAGTGCCTGTGGTCTAAACATGCACATGAATGCATACACAGGTGCATGTGCCGGCTGCCTGATGTCCGCCTCTGTGTTCCGAGTATGGTATGTGTAGAATCATACGCTGCAAACCTGCAGGTGTCTCTGCTGCATGGATTGCATGCCCGCTGCAGCTGTATGTGTGTCTGGGCAGGGCTCCTCTAAAGCCACAGGTCTTCACAGTTTCAGCTGGATAAGTTATTCTTCACTTCCCTTCCTAAAAACACAATTGCCTAGTGCTGCTGGCGCAGAGTCAGAATGGCCGCTGCATTTCACCCCCGAGGTGGCTTCCTTCCAGCAGTGGGTGAGTGATCCCGGCGTTCGCACACTCTCTAACCTGTGGGATCCTTCTGCACAGAAGGTGTTCCAA